AAACCCAAGTTTTAGTTTTTTTGGTTGCCGAAATTTTCCAAATCACTCTACACCGTGGCTAGTTTTCAACATTTTAAACACATTTGTATAATTTTTTTCCTGCATGAAAACAAGATTGACTCGTTGGTGAAGTAGGATTCCGTGTTCATATAAATAACGCCTCTTAGACCTGTCAGGCCCATTGGCCCAATCCACTTCTTTACCCCCAGTATTTTTCTAACGAAGACGATTTTTTTCTCTCTCATATTTTCAATGAAAACTCGTATCGTTCTTTCTTATTATTTTCTCGGGATGGGAGGGGGGGTCAATTTTATAAGTTTGCTCTTTTATGATCGCATGTATTATTCATGCAGTATCGCACTCCGAGACCCATAGCATCGAGAGAAAAACCAATTTCCAAGAAATTTATTTGTCATTTTTATAATATATCCGGACTTATATAGTTGAACTAGAACTTGAAAATAATATTAATTAAATTTCTCCGTCACCGGCAATATCATTTACTTTTTTCAAAAAAAAAATTTCTGTGTGAGCTTATAAACATAGTAAATTAAAGTGCTTACTCAATAAAGTTGATTTTCCCTAGTCTCTGTCGTTTTTTCCGTCTCCGGATTGCAATATTTTTAGCCAAAATCGAAACTGTAATCAGAAGCACTATTCTCATTTTTATGGCAATTTCCCTAAAACGAGTTCCAATTTAATCACCAGCGAAAAAATTCAACACAAGCATCCGAGCTTGTCCGAACGTTTTAATATAATTCCACAGATTTTATAGATATTTTATAGTTTTAATGAAAACGTCCAACAGTTCACTATGACATCAGATATTACTGCTATTTATAACTTTAAAAACATTTTCGTTTACCTATGTAATATTTAACAAGAAAAAATTGACTTATTTTGTTAAAATTTTAATATTTTAATAAGATTAAAGAAAAATGTTGTTACATGTCTTGGAAAAAAGCGGTGTAATCAATGACAAACATACTGGTACAAAATATATCACTAATATTTTTAGATTTCTAAATATTGATGCATAAATATATTATACAGGTTTTTTGGGACAGGGGTGGCCATGAGGTTACTCCGCCTTATTCTCGTTTGCCACCCTTGTGGTTCTGGGATCGAATCGGCATAGCCATTAAAGTTTAATATTTTCACCAATCCTACTGGTTTTTAAAGCATGCTATACAAACATGTTGTGATATCATGCCGATACAACTGAGAAAATTAGATGGTTTGGTGGAAGAAGAAGAAAAGGCAGTAGACAGTCAATATAATATATATACAGTCTCTTTTAGATACCCCGCTGCATTTCTTTTGAGCCAATGACGCTATCAAAAAAATACGTGTTTAATCTTTTTTAGACTAGTTTCAAATTTTAAACTTTTTTGGAAAAAAATTATACACATTGGTTTATTTATGGCAAAAAGCTTGGCAAGCATTCTTTGACGCAGTTCTTCAACTCAGGTTGTTGGGTTATGATTATCGTGGACACTGTTTTGTAAATGGCCCCTCAAATAGTCAATCGGGTGACCGAGGAGGTCACAGATCGGGCCATGAAGTTCTACGCACCAATCCCGGAAGTGACGATTCAAATAACGTCTCACCTGCAAAGAAATTGTGTGCAGGGCAGCCATCAAGCTGGAAAATCTTTTTTTGTCGTTGTTTCAAAGGAACATCATCTAATAGTCTTTGTAAAACCTGCCTCAAAACATTGAGGAACTGAGCACCATTAAAATTATTTTCGTAAATGAGGCTCAATAAATTTATTTCCGAGAAGTCCACACAAAACGTTGATACTATGAACCTCGGATTTTCCTCTGCCCACGTTCGAAAATTTCAACTGCTTAGTTTGTGATTAGAGGTGAACTTGGATTCATCAATCAATAGGATGTATGGAAAAACCTGTTCTTCAGTCTCCCAAATCGACATTTGTGCAAGGAACGTTAGACGCCTGTCATAGCCAGAGTCCCGAAGTCCCAGGATAAGATGAGAGTGATACGGCTAAAAATTGTATGTCCGGAGTACATCTCAAATTTTATTTTTTGAAAACCTAAAACCCTTCCAACCCCCCTTGCGAGCAACACTTTTGTGGTTTACTCTGGGGCGATCAGGAAATTTCTGGAGGTACAACTCGACTGCACGACGCGCATTGTCCGTTGTAAAATCCGATTTGACCATTGTTTTCAGCGAAAAAAAAATATTTAAAATAATATGTCAGGACGTATAGAATCGTATTGGAAATTTTGAAGTTGAACTGGACCTGAAGTACTCTGTATAAGTTTTTTCCAAAAAATAGTAACAATTTGAAACTAGTCTAAAAATATTAAATATATTTTTTTGATGGCGTCATTGATTAAAGAGAAATTCGGCCGGGGCATTTATAAAAGACTAATATAATAATATAAGAACTAATATTATATGACTTCGCACCTATAAATATTAATAATAAATATTAATAAATAAGCATTTGTTCAATTTTTTTAATGAAGATAAAAAGAATCTTCTAAAGAGGGGAAAGACTTTTTTCTTTATTATATATTTCTTTATTTCTTCTTTCTTTCTTCCTTATTTTTCTTTCTTTTCTTTCGTTTCTTTCTCGCTTTACTTTCTTTTTTCTCTCTCCTTTTCCCTTCTCCCATTCAAAATCTTCAGAAAATAGTTAAGTAAAATAAATACACGAGTAGATAAGTTAATTAATTAAAAAATATGTATATTCAAAAATACTTGGTTAAAAATAAATAAATAATAATAATTAAAAAACATAATTATGGCAATATTTTAAAATAAAAAAGAAAAACATTACCAATCAATTTAATAGCCTTTTATTGGTAAAGAAAATCGTGATTTATTTTTCCATTCTTTTATAAGTGTAGTAACAATAAAGCAATAGTTTAGTTTTTCAAGTAATGCCTTTAAGATTCAAAAAAATTTTTTGTTAAAATCATTCAATTAATTAAGGTTTTAAGTTGATATAAAAAAAGTCAGTTTTTTCAGTGTGACAGTCAAAAAAGTCAAGCTATCGTGACTTCACGAGCTCGAAGTCACGATAGCTCAAGTGGTAGAGTAGCGGCGTATCAAGCCGAAGGTCGTGGGTTCGCATCCCGCTCGTGACACTGACTTTTTCATCTCAACTTAAAACCTTAATTAATTGAATGACATTAATTGACCAAGCGGACCACGAAAAATAGTGAATTTTTAAAATGATTAAACTATTTAATGATCAAAGGTAAATGGTAATTGGCAATCCATAATCGCACATCTAGAATCGTATTTCATCAAATTCTGTACATTCTGCCATTTACGAATTCGCCTGAAGGTTTAAAAACAAATTGGCACTGACGCTTTTTCATCGAACGGGAAGAATATTAAAGTGTGATAAGTTAGACCTTTACAGAACATCAGTTGATTATTTTTTAATTGGCCCTGTTCCGTCGTTAATCGGCAGCGTATAGATCCTTGTTGAAATTGTTCCACGATTTTATTAATATTCCAAAACATCATTAATACCATAATTAATCCCCCGCGCCTAATTAGAAGGTTTAATAAATATAAATTTAATAAATTGGACTATTATTTAAAAATTCGGAGATTGTTTGTGACTGGATGTTGTACATGTTTATGAACGGTTCTTCCAAATAATTAAAGGAATAAATAATTAACTACGTATTTCAAATTGAAAGATTCAAAGGAACCTCTATAATTCGTTCTTTTTTTTCTTTTATTTTGTACGCACTCATTCTAGGATGGGGTTTTGTTATAACTAATGACAGTTATAATAACTGGCTTAATATTGGACTTTGAGCTTCTTTTGGGAGCAGTTTGTATGTTCATTCCCTGAAACTCCTGAGTCCGTCTAGCCGAGAGGGCATTATGTTTTCCCAGATTTTGGTGTATTCACCGACTATTTGGGATGAGTCCTTTTTCTATGGTAATGCTTTTAGTTTTTGGCTGACTATCGTATTGCTTTGCCAGTATTTCAGCATGAAGGACCAAGGTGTCCTTTCCTAATGAGTTTGATTGCTCATATTTCGGCCTTGCTCATAGTTCAATCTCTGCTTTTGAAACCATCTGTATACCATATAATTATATTTCATGTCCGTCCCTTTTCTTTATCTTGTGATCTATTAAAATTTTATAGAATGTTGCAAAGAATGTGTGGTGTTTAGCGACCGTTAGTTAATGATCATATGGAGATCGTGAGATGCCAGACCGCATTGTTTAAATTTTACAAATACATCAAAGATGGAAAATAAATGAATTTATACACTGCTAGAAATTTTAGATTCAATCAAAATATTTGTAGGGAAAATTCGAAAGGTTGGGTTCAGATGGGAAGTTAGTGTCCGAGTGGATCGAAGTCACGATAGCTCAAGTGGTAGAGCAGCGTCGTATTTAGCCAAAGGTCGTGGGTTCGAATTCCGCTCGTGACAGTGACTTTTTTTATCTCAACCAATACCTTATATAAAGATTAACTAATTGAAAGATGTTATTTGGTCAATCGCAACACGAAATCTAATGGATTTAATTTTTATGATTAAGCATTCGGAATTAGAGATTTTACATACCTACGTAATCTATTAATCCAAATTTCAAAACCTGATTATTTCATAAAATGCATATGCGAATGTAAAAGAGAAAAGACTGTTGTATTATGACTTGCATATTTCAAAACAAGTCCAGAATCGATTTATTTTACTACTTTGAAGAAATTATTAAATTTTAATATTTGTCTTTGATCTAGCTGTTGTAGACGTTTGATGAAGATTTTAATTGTTATGGCATTATTGCTGCTATAGTGAGGAGTCAAACGAAGCTTGTTATATGAGAAACAGTGAAAATGAGCGCACGGTAAGGGAAATAATTACCAAATTTTGACATATTTTAATATGAAGTTACTGTAGTTTATTACATGGCGTCGTGGCTACAAGACACGAGCTGGTGGAAGCCGTGTATTAATAAACCTCGAAAATGATGAATATGGTGAAAAAACTCACCTTTGATGAAGTCGACCGCCATTTCGAGGCCGTACGTGTCGCGATCGCAGTCGTCGAGGATGTGCGCGCCGATTTTGAAATGTTTCAGCTCCTTGTTGATGACGTCGAGTGTGTACAGCATCGTTTCGACGGCTTGGATCCCGCCCTGAGGCATGACCGGCCCACAGATGAAAGTCTCCTCCCTTTCGTGGACCATCATTAGACCACCTAAAACTAAGTCCCCCTCGACCACAGCCTCGCGTTTCACCGGCCACGAAGGCTTCTGAAGGCCTTCTTCCACCAGGGAAAGCGGCTTTCCGTGCCTTTTCCCGTGCCTGTGCCTCAGCCTGGCTTCGTTCGAACTCCAAGTCCCGCCGATGTAAACACTGCTCAACACTAACCACAGCATAATCGGACCCTGTTGACATGAAAACATCAAATTAAAATTTTTTAAAAATCTCCAAGACCATATAAATATTAATTAACTCAGAACGATACACGAATTGTTTAAAGAAATGGATTTTTTTTTGTGTAATGAAACTAAAGAAAGTAGGTCGCAAGAAGATATATTTAATAAGTTTTTTTAGACTCAAGTCGGCTTAAAGTCGTATGCAAGTTTTGCCGCTTTATTATAAAAGGAAAGTTTCCATATAATTTGGCAAGTCTTGTGTGGTTTATTTCTTTAAGATATATAAAGTTTAAATCAACTTATTATTTCATTTAAAAAACTGAGATTCGGAGACAATTTCCACTAGTTCTTCAGTACCTCGATTAATTTGCATACTTTCTGACAAACTAATTTATTAAATTAAGTATACAATCAATTAATGTATCTTATGATGTTACAATATTTCATTTCTCTAAGCCTTGCGTGGTTAATTTTTAGAAAAATATATAAAAATATTCAAAATGTTCCAGGTAACTTTTATAAATGCTTCTTTATTCTCTGCATTTTTTTCTTAAATTCAAATTTATTTCGATATTACAAAGAAGGATAGGCAAGAGAGTAGAGTGAAAGCCATATGAAAAATCGGGTGGTGATGATTTATTGGACTTTTCTTAAGGCGATGAGCCGACGAAATCCTTTCCTTGCACCTCTACGCTGCTGGAAGTTTTCCACTGGCGCTTTTTTTATATTACCTAGGACTTCGTAAGAAATTGCAGGAAAAAATTCGGGTAATTTGTTTAAGGTTTGAACCAACAAACTATGAAATAATCAACTCCTTTTTCCATTTTGCCTGTGGATAAATTTTGATTTTCCTATTTCTCATTCATTTGTAATTCCAATTTACATTACGTCCAGATCCGACCATCTCGGGTCTTTGCTACTGCTAAGGTAAATTTAATTTTGTCTATTTTTTGTAAGGCTGGGGTTAAATCCTATTAATTGAGTTAGCCGCTTAGGATATAGACCAAAATTGTTTACACTTGACTTTTTACTTTAAAAGAATCTTTTTTTCACCATACGTAACCTTGTGTGTATATAGAATAGGTGTGCTATAGCTAAATATATTGTTAAATTTTAAATTAGTATAAATGTATTTGTTACAGGGTGGGTGGTTATATAGAACAAGTCGTCAGAGTTGAGGACAATTGGAAAGAAAACAATACTCAGTTCCTTCGTCGAGCTTCGAAGAATATAATAAATAAAACAATATTTTTTTAAATTTAATATATTTATTACAAACTGTAACATTATTTCCAACATATAATTAGTTGAATTTAAAATGACACGGATCATGTGTAGCGAAGGAGATTAAAAACCATTGTTCTTTTCCCAACTATATGTCAAAACTAATAATCGTTCAGGTTATTGACTTACTGCTTAATGATTACAAAAATTTAATCAAATATGCGCGCCACGCCTGGCACTATCGCCAAGAGTTAATATTAGAATTTAATTTTTGAATATTTTAAAGCCTTGTCATTCTAAATTGCCGGCCCAAATAATTTATATATCTATATTATTGTGAATTAAACGAAGAACAAAAATTATTGTTTATAATGTATGCTAGTAATTAATGTAATTATTAAAAATTAAATTATCAATTGTAATATTTATTTATGGATCAATTTTTTTTAAATTTTTTCTTTTGTACATTTTTCTCTGTGTCGACCAAAAATTTAAGTCAAATGAAATCGACCTCCGGCAGACGGTCCCTCCATGCCGTAATTTTACTTTAAATTATATACTATGTAATGTTTATAACTTTTCTTTTTTGCAATAAAGTATTATTCTTATTATTTATTATTATTATTATTCATCGTGCAGTAGGTCCTCTGCAGTTGTCTGGTGGGATTATAAGGGTAGTTTCTATTGGATAAGGACTGGGCAACTCGACTGGAGAGGAGTGTTTATTGTGGAAAGTGAAAAATGTTTAGGAGATTATTTTTTTCACGAAAGGGACTTAGAGGTCAATGTGAAGGAGACGTAGTAAGGAGCATTGAGTATGATTCTGAAGTCTTTGGATGGGAAGGATTGTGTTTTTGTATGTTGGAAGGTTTAGCCATTGCCCCATAATCCTAGTCGGTACGTCCAGATTGGTTTTAGTATTGACTTGAAGATATATGGATGCTTTTGCTTTCATTCAACTTTATACGCCAGTTTTTTTTCTCTCGATATTCCTCCTATTCCCTATCTATCCTATATTTCCTATCTACCTATTCCCTATAATAAACTAACCTAGATTGGGGTCGATGTAGTATTTTTATAAAATTTTCGCCATCAACCCAAGTCATACACACAACCTGAGAGGCGATGGAGAAGCTACTTCGCCATCAGTCCCTCCCCATTCACACCAATAAATACATTCACTCATACAAGACACCGAAACAGAAAACACATACACATACAATAAAAAATACCCAATTGCTTTAAAAAGCGAAATAGAGGACCCTGAAACTCGCTGCTGTGTCCGTGAACTCTCTTTAAATCTGGCGGCATGCCTACTCGCGCCCTGTAGGGAGCCAAGGCATGACACGCTTCGACTATGTGGGACACATCGAACAACCTTTCTCTGCATAACGGACACCTGCGGAATTAGGCTGTTTTCAAGATAAGTACCTAGCGCACCTCTCAAGCAATTGTGAGATCGGGATATCTAACCTAAACCTAATTAATTCTACTTGATCTAACCTTAACAAACGATGGCTTTGACTCGGTCGTCAAGGTATCAAGTCATCACCATACTTTTATATAGCTTTAGGCTCAACGGAAAGTTGATGATTCATTGAAGTCAAATTAGCCTCAACTCGGATCACCTTTTCTACATAAATTCTTAGTGTTAGGATGATCTCAAACTGCCATCAGTTCTTCGTTTTATAGTTTAAAAAATATAAAACACGCATTTTTTTATAGCGTCATTGGTTCAAAAGAAATTCTGACGGGCCATTTATATATACGTATCCTGCCTTTTCGTTGTCTTCTTCTAGGTCCATTGGCCATTGATTTAGTGGTAACGGTAATTCTACTGGTAGATGGGGAAAGCACGATAGAGGTTTCCATTTAACGGCCTAGAATACATCTACCACCTTTCGAATTTAATATTTATGGGCACAATAGTAGCCAGTACACAATACGCTTAATAGGAAATCGTCCTATAACCTTTTATGATTCACAGAGCGATCCTCCTTTGTGCACTTTTTTTAAGGGCATCACTCCATGCTGGAGCTGGATACGGGAGGATGGGCAATATGACACCAGTGTACATAACTTTTAATGCGACACTACCTAATCCCCTACTTTAGCAGATCGGGATAGTGTTGATCATTTGTCAAACTTTGGCACATATGTATTCAAACAGTTCATTCCACGAAAATCGCTTGTCGATTATGATTCCCAGATATTTCAAGGACTCGACCTACATCAGAGCGATTCCTATTGAAAATATGTTTAAATTGTTTGCCGCTTTTTGGCAATTCTTAACACTTGTGACTTGTCCGGATTGTAAAACATCTTTGTTTTCATTAACCATTTTTAACGAGGTATAAGCTTTCGTTAGTCAAACACTGAAGATCAAAGGCCGTTTTTGCTGATACTAAAATTATCAAATCATCTGCTAAACCTACAACCTTGATTTCTTGTGGGGAAAGAAAAGTGTAGTTGTGAGTCGTATAAAATGTTCTAAAATCCGGGACCGCAGCGGGATCCCTGGGGGCATCAGATCCTTTTATTGAAATTGGTTTAAAATTTAAAATTTTCAATATTTTCATCTGGAGTCTTTAACTTTTTGCCATTTATATCTAGTTAATCCTTCTCCCTTTCGACTAAGTAAAAGGAAGTCTAACTGAGAGTGAGAGAGATATATTTTAAATCTTTTTTCTGTGTGAAAACGAACCCACGGTTCAGCCGAGCGGGAAATCACAGGCCAATTGCAAAACTTCGCCAAGTGATGTAGGAACGCAATCAAGTCACTGTGCCACCAACTTAGCCGGAAAGTTGATCCGTATCATATCGGATGTTATTTGCCCCCCGAACCTTCTCCAGACCTACGTTGGTTATATTAAAATTTATAATGGAATAATTTTGTGGGAACGCTTTTCTTTACTACTGAGCGATTTATAAATAATTAATCTATTTTTCCAACGTTTTTTGTATTGTGTCAACATATAAAATCTAAACCCGTTAAAAGAAAATCTTTCTCTTTTTCAGCAGACAAGAATTGAGGAAAATGATAAGCATGTATCCTGGCCACCGCTGCCAGCTTAATTTCCACCACATCAAAACTGAGAGAGAAAAATAATATATAATCACAATATATTTATAATAGAAAGACCGGCGGCCCTTGGTTGAATCTGTATCTTAATTGTCTGTACGTAGGAAATAAGGCAGCGTAATGGTTGAATAGGTTCCAACCTTCAATTTTAAATAATATATAATATTACGATATCTGTTAATTCATGATCTAGTCGATATAACGTTGTGGGAGCGAGAATTTATAACGTTGTGGGATTAATATGATGGTTATAAAAAATAAAATAAAATAATGAGTCTGTACCCGTTAAACGTAAAAACTTCGTATATTAATAACAAATTAATGATTATTCAGATATCGTGAGATCACGATATCTGAATAACTATCGATTAACGGTCACTAATCTCTACACAAATTAATGAATTGAATATATCTTTTATATATATAAAGTGGAAGGTTTATGGGCCGACAAACAGCTGAGGTCATCGCCGGCCCTCCGCGTGTATTCCTTGTCTTTCCTGTCTTTCTCGCGTGTTTTGTATTGAACTGCAGCCATTTGAGCATCCCGATCTGGTTACTGACTCTCTGCTTTTACTTGTATATTACGTCGTTATTTTAAAATGCTAGCGTCTTGTTAGTACCTAGTAATATATCTTATAAATAGTTACAACTAATTTAGTAAGGAAAAGGGAATAATTTCTTATGATAGAAAGTAATTAAGTGT